CCTCAGAATACTGGGCCCTGGGCCTGGGGTTCTCAGCCTGGAGAATCCTGGCATCCATCTTCAGCCTGTTAAACACAGCCTAAGGGCTACTTCTTCATCTCTAGGCACTCTTACTGGCTCTATTTGTACCCCTGTTATAGCCCATGTCATTCTCTGTCTGTCCTACAGTTGTGGGTCTGTCTCTCCTGCTAGATCAGAAGCTCCTTATCAGCAGGGACCTGTCTGTCTTATTAACCTTTCTTCCCCTCATGATGCCTGGCCCAGGACTCCACGTTCAGAGGCAGTTTAATGTCTACAGAATTGATGGATGCTCCGTACCCCGTATTCATAAGCCTGTGTTTTGCTGCCAAACACCAGAGGGCAGTGTTAGCATGTTGATGAAGATGATTATGACCCACCCCGCCCCAACCCCAGACCTGGAAGGCTGGGAATGGCTTATGAAAATCTTGCTTCTGTTTCAGGATTGCTTGAGACTTATTGCACCTCAATTGTTCTAAACACATCTGTTTGAATTTATTCATGAGGCACGTTCCTGTTGGGATTAGAGATGAGTTTGAAAGCTACTAATGACGGTTCCCCCTCACAGGTCAAATCCTCAGACAAGACCTCCTTCATAGTCCCTCCAGATCCAAAGTGGCTCTCCTGACCCACCAAAAATGTCTCCCAGTTACTCACTGAGAGGCATCCCGCTGCCCTCTCCTCCACCAAAAATGGCGACTGCCAGTCCCAAGGGGAATGTGGGATATGATTCTATTCCTTTTCTGCCCCACCCTCCTCCCAAGTGCACACATGCACAGGTCCATGTCCACCCGAATGCACACTCACTGACATCAGGATCTCTGGGTGATGGCTCAAAGGCTCTAGCCTCTATGGGTGGGGTGGGAGGATGCTGTGAGAAGCAGCACCTCCACTGGCCCTGACCCCAGGGAGACAGCATCAGTTTCCCAGGTGCCCCCAGTCACAGCATCATGGGGGCCCCCAGGGGTGAGAAGTCTCCCTAGTGAGCCGGGTGCGGTGGCTCCCGCCTGTAATCCCAGCACTTTGGGAGGCCGAGGCGGGCAGATCACAAGGTCAGGAGATCGAGACCAATGTGAAACCCCATCTCTACTACAAATACAAAAAATTAGCCGGGCGCGGTGGCGGGCGCCTGTAGTCCCAGCTACTCAGGAGGCTGAGGCAGGAGAATGGCGTAAACTCGGGAGGCGGAGCTTGCAATGAACCGAGATCGCACCACTGCACTCCAGCCTGGCGGACAGAGCGAGACTCCGTCTCAAAAAGAAGTCTCCCTAGTGACTAAGCCAGGAAGCTCCATTTCAAAGAAGCTGGCTATTTGCAAAGGTGTCATGGCTTGTACATTTTTCCAAAAAACGACAGAAAAACTGAAGAACTGATTCTTTTCCCCAAAACAAAAAACCCGTGCCCTCACTTCTCCCTAGCAAACCTGCTCTAATCCTGGGATCCCTGAGCAATTTGACAGCATGAGGTCCAGATGGATGGGGTAAGCCCCAGGAGCCCCTTCCCCTTGTCTTTGGTGTAAACTGGCTTCTTGACCCTGCCCTGCACATACCCCTAATAAACAGGAAGGCATCTGCGCCATTAGTGTCCATCCTTTTCAGAGCATCTGAGACCTGTCTGGACCATCAAAGCCATCTCCAGCCCCCGGGAGCATACTGGAGGAGACACCAGCCTTGCCAAAACAATTCTCCATTGTGTTCTTCCCCTTAGAAATCATGGGTTTGTAAACAGCCCCTTACATTTCGACAGGTCCTGCCCTGGCTTTGTGCTGGTGTGTTGTTTTTTCTTCCCTGAACAATGTCCTTTCCAGTAGGGCCAGCCGTTCACACCATTGTCTGAGACCCTTGGACTACAGGAAACATCACCAGATTCTTATCAGCTGGGGGCAGGAGTAGGGGGGTGAACAGATGAGATCATGTCCACAGAGCAAGTGGCTGGTGTACCACGTCATTCCCCTATGCCTTCATCTGTGAGAGCAGAGCCTGCCTCGCCCTCCATCAATCTGGGCTTCATGTGTCCTGAGTCCAGTCCCCTCCATTTGGTGATAGACACCTGGACTCTGTTCCAGGCCTCTGTTGAGTTACTTTGGAATCCTATCAGCCTGCAACTGTCTCCTTGCCCTGGTCATTCCTCACAGCAGTGAAACAGGCCCTTTTGGGTGGATTAGGGGGTACTCTGGTCATCATCCTCTCTGGGGTAAAGAGGTCAAGACTGGTCAGCTGAGTCCTCCCATCAGCAGTGTCCCTGCATGCAGGCTATTAGCTAGCCACTGGAGGCCTGGCCCAAAGACAGCCCCATATCCCTTACATGGCCTCCCTGGAGACTTTGCAGCAGCCCTCGTCCTCAGTGGAGGGTGATTTTTTTAAAGGCTTCATGAGGAACCAGGAGTTTCCTTAATGGAAATCCAGCAAGGAAAGTGAAAGGCTTCATTAGGACGCAGTCTCTAAGGGATAGGGGCCCAGTAGTGGTACCCACAGCAAAGGTGGCCAGGGACTGGGCAGTGAGAATGGGCACAGGGCCACAGCTGCCTTGCCTTGTCTCCTGTACACCCGAGGGATGGCTGAGTATGGAAGGAGAGCCAGGGTGGGGCCCAACAATTCCCAGGCACCTTATCAGATTTTTATTTATTTATTTATTTATTTTTTGAGACAGAGTCTTGCTTTGTTGCCCAGGCTGGAGTGCAGTGGCACGATCTTGGCTCACTGCAACCTCTACCTCCCGGGTACAAATTATTCTCGTGCCTCAGTCTCCTGAGTAGCTGGGATTACAGGTGTGTGCCACCAGCTAATTTTTGTATTTTTAGTAGAGAAGGGGTTTCACCATGTTGGCCAGGCTGGTCTCGAACTCCTGACCTCAGCTGATCCACTCGCCTCAGCCTCCGAAAGTGCTGGGATTGCAGGTGTGAGCCATCGTGCCTGGCAACCTTTTCAGATATTGTGTCCAAACCTAGCCCTACCCACTGTCCCTCTCTCCAAGTTTAAAGTCTTAGAAGACCCTGGGAATTTCTTCTTGGTGTATGTTGAACTTCCTTCTTGTAGAACCCACTGCAATCCAAGACTTACGTGAGGCTGGGATGGGACCTTAACTGGGATGGAAACTGGGCTATTTCTGAGCAACTACCTCCTAGCTCTAAGATGTGGTTGGCCAGGGGCGCCTCTGTTTGCTGGATTTCCAGAGGCATGTGAGCCAGTCTTCTGGGGCCCACCTGGCTGGAGCTGCAGCTGGACCCCCTGCCAGCCCATGAAGAGGACAGGCTGGCGGGAGGTACACCAGGTTCCTGGGGGCTGCTACCTGACCACTCTTCCAAGCAAGGGATTCGAGGGCTGTCTAGGGCCTGACCCCGAGCTTAGCCAATGAAAGAAAAGCCCAGGAGTCACTTGAGAAAGTGGAAACTGCTGTTTTCCTCTTATTCTGACTCCTCCCTGCCCCCTACCTTCTTAGAAACGATTCTGTTGGATGGCAGGACAGCCACAGACTAGGGGTGAATGCTAGCCCTCCACAGAGGACCATGCCAGACACAGGAGGAGCCAGAAGTAGGCTGGGTATGGGAGGACGAGAGCCAGGAACAGAGCACAGTCCAGGCCCAAAGGGCAGCAGATTGGCCACTTGGCAGCCCTGTCCTGGGGTAGCAGAGTCTACTCCGGCAAGGGTCATAGGGAACCAAGATGTGGCTATTTCAGCAGAAGGCTGGGGCTTCCAGAGCCTACAGGCTGGGAAGGCAATTACTAATTAATCAAGCTCACATGTTAAGGGAGGGAATTAACCTAATCAACATTTTTCCAAAATATGTTCTTCAAAATGTTAGAAACATGAGATGTTAGCTGCTCCATGGGAAAAAAGAGAGAACCAAATGTTTTGGAAAAGCACATAGCACATAGTAGGCATGCACATTAGCAAGAGATCATCACAGGACTTCTCAGGGCCTTCACAGGGCAAGCCAGCAGGCAGCATTTCAGCTCTGTCAGGGCCAAAGGGGCAGAACATGGGGACCACGAGATCGTGGGGGGTCCCATGGGATTATAGTTATCTCTTGGAACCACTGGGCTAGTCTCATTCTCTAAGCACCTTTCCAGCTCTAAACCTGTTTGGGAAGTCATGGAACAGAGGCCCCAAGAACAGAGGAAGCTTTAGACGCGGAGGAAAGAGCTTTGACAAGACTAGAGAGAGGCTGAAATCACTGAGGCAGGAAATAGGGCTCGAGATGGGAGGGGGAGGTGGTGTGGACCAGGGAGGGGTCTGGTCCAGAGGGTTCTTCCGGGCCACCCTGGGGAGAGTGGTGCATGAGGGAAGAAGGGGGCTCTGGAGCCCGCCTTCACACACCCCTCCCAGCCCAGCACACTGTGCCAGGTGGGTGCCCTGGTGACACTTCTCAGTCAGAGGTGATGATGCTTCCTGGGGTGGGGTGACAGGGTTTCAGGCTCTGTCAGGCCTAAGTGATTGTGGAGGGCGCAAGGAACAAAAGGAAAGGCCAGCTCCAGGGCCCGGGCTGCAAGATGAGACTTATGACTGACCTGTTAAGACCCCTAGTCTACAGCATGGATTGAGGGGCCTGCTCAAGCAAGAGGCCCAGGGAAGTCTCCCTGGGAAGGTAGGGTTATGACCCTTCAATCTTCCTCCAGCAGCAGTGGAGTCTGCTCTTTGGGCTGGGGTGTTGTTGTCACTGGGGAGTGGGAGCCATGCCCAGACGGACCTCCTGCAGTGTGCCCAATAGGTCAGATGTTCGGGGCCTCCCCTCCTTTCCAGAAGCCACAGCCCCCACAGCACAGCCCCAGTCCCCCAGCCATGAGGACTTAATATCCATTGGTATGTGGCTTGGGATGAAGGCAGGAACCATGCCAAGTGTCACTGTGACAAATGTCAAGTGTTATTATGAAAAAGGAGCAGAGCTGCCTACGTGCCCAGCTGCCCTTTGCCAATGTTTTTTTTTTCTCTTTTGGTTCAAGATCCTCCTGAAGTCCCAAGAAGGTCAGTCTTACAAGCCCACAGGCCAGGATGTTCCTCATTTAATGAGCAATCTCGGCTTCATAGACAAAGCCCTCTAACTCCTTCCTTCCCCTGATACCCATCTTCCTCCTTTCTAGAAAGCACCACCCAGTCTCTTTCTTTAAGTCCTTTTCCAGCTCTAAAACCTGTTTGGGAAATCATGAAACAGAGGTCACTCAGGGTGACCTTCTTTCTCATGCAATGGATGGGAGGGCTCTTCATTTTCAGCTCATGTGCTGGCATCAGTCCATTTAGTACAATACACAGATACACAGTAATGATATAATTACATGATGCAAATATTAACTTCATCCCTTTCCTTATAAATTTGGCTTTTCTCACCAGAGCTCAGGGGCAGTCATGACAATAAAAATAACAATAGTAATTACAAGAAATATGCTCTGAGAACAGAGAAACCACAAAGCCCATCTCAACATACAAATACAAAAATAGAACTCGCACATACAGGGCGTTTCCAGGAGTTAGTAGCATACAGTACCATGGGTGGGGTGCGGTTGGCAGAAGCTGTCCACTTTTTCCAAGTGCAGGTGTTCGTTGCTGAGGACCTTGTGCTCCTCCTCCCTTCATTTTCTAGAGTAACTTCCCAGAGGACCCTGCCTGGAGCCTGCCAAGCCAGAGTCTAGCCTAAAGGCCCAGAGGGCTGTTTGTTTCTTTCTGGCCTCCCTAGGGTAGAGGGCAGAGCTGGCTGCAGCTCTGACACCCTTTCTTGGAGCTCCGCACTCTCTCCTCCCCTCTTTAATCCCCTCTGTCTCCCCTCCCTTCTGCTCTTCAGCCCCTATCCTTTCCTCCTCTCCTCCTCTGCTTTGACCAGCTGACCTCCCAGCAGACAGCACTGCAGGCTGGAAGGCTTCTCAGGGCGTTGATAGGTTAATCTCTGCTTCTGGTTCATTTACTACATGGTCAAAGGGGAGAAAGGAGCAGGTATTTCAGGTCCCAGTTCTCTGGAGGTGCCAGGGGTAGGCAGTCTGGGTTTGAGTTTCAGTGGGGCAGGGAACCCTGTCTTGCTTTTTATCTTTTTTTCCCCTCCTTTCTTTGTCTTGGTTGTTTTAATGGAGGGAATCTCAAACCCGGTGGTCTTATCTCTTTCCAGTCAGTTTTGTGCATCATGAACGTGTTCCTGTGCAGGCTGGGAACAACTTTTCATTTAGTCCTCCTCCTCCGCTCTGTGCTCCCCAGCCTGAGAAACTGCTGATGGCAAAAACACCTCCGCTACATGCCCCGGCAGAATGCATCCTTGCCGTCCGATCTTTCCCCCCAAGAATCAGCAGGACTTACACTTCGTTTTTTTCTCTACCTTGTTTCCCCCTTAAAAGAAAAACAGTCTTCCTAAATCCATTTAGCATAAAACAGAGATTCCAGAGATGGAAACACGGGGTCTTACAGGTGGCTTCTGAGCTAACTGATGCCATCCTGAGTCCTTGTGGACACCTGTTCCTGCCTGGGTCCCACAGTCTATCCTAAGGGTCTCCTGCCCTCTGTCCATCTCCATATCCTCTCAATCTTCTGCATCCCTGGCCCTGATTCTGAGGACTGCAGGGCTCACAGAGCCTCCACATTCCCAGCCTCCAGGGCTGTGGCATGCTTGCATCACCATGGGAAAGACAGCCCACTCTTCCCGCCTGCACCCTTCCCCAGCTCCCCCGCCCTATCTCTAGTCCACAGACACAAGGGACAACAATCCCCCAAAACCCACCCCTCCCCGCTCGTGGGAATGGAGAGCCTGACAGTGGGGAGGGGGTCCTCTCAGGAGGGGCAGGTATCCCAGCAACCCTGGCCTGGGGAAAGGAAGTCAGGCTGTGAGATGCCCCCACCTGGTTTACAAAGTGAAGCCTGAGCCCTGACCAACCCAGATCCCTGGGGACTCTAGCAGTCCATGCCTCTAGATTATCTATGCCTCTCTCTGATTCTCAGATGGAGAAGAGGCGGTGGGCAGTGGCAGAGAGCCACCAAGATATCAGGGCATGACAGGAGGGGAGGTGCATTGTTGCTCCACCTTCCTAACACCTCCATGTTCCCTCCCCAAGTCGGTCAGGTAGGCTCTTCTTGCGGGGTGCTAGCTTAGAGGCCATTTCCTCCCTCCTCTGGCTCCCTGAGAGCCCGCTACCGGGACACCCCCTAGACCCACCCACACACCCACTCGGAGGGTCACTCAGAATGGCCATTGTTCTGTAGACTGGGAAAGAACCACCCAACCCTCTTGCCTCTGGGCACACCCGGAAATGTGCTCCGGAAGCCAGGCCATCTCTGAGAACAAATGGCAGATCCCTCGGGGCTGCCAGCGGCCAAAGGGTGCTGGCTCCAGCTGGGTCTGAGAGCACAGAGAGGGGCAGGGAACAGGCCTCAAGCAGCCGGCCCCTCCATCAGACCCCAGTCTTTTCTGTAGGTGGCCCAGTAGCAGTGTGGGGGCAGAGACACCCGTCTCTAAGAGGCAAACAGACGTCCTGACCCCCTCTGCCCTAGCCAGTGGGTGGGAGATGCTGGGGGCTGCTAGTGGGCTCCCCCAGCCCATTCTGACCACCCCTCCTCTGCCCGCTTCTACGTGGCCTCCACCTCCCGGGGTGTCCGATTGTGCTCAGCATGCACCCGGCTCTTCATCTTCTTGCCTAGCTCCAGCCCTGCCCAGCTCTTGCCCTTGGCCTGCTTGCCCCGGCTCCGGCTCCGGAAGGAGCCTGAGCATTCCATGGTGCCCCTGCACCACACGCGCTCACAGTACTCATCTACCCGGGGCAGATTGGCAAAGCCGATGAGCTGCAGGATGTCCTTGTACCAGGCCTTGGGTCGGGTGGAAGCCAGGCCTCCCCGGGCTGGGGGCTCCTCTGGCTTTGGCTCCGGAGGGAACACGTTGTCCAGCTGTGAGGCCACAATCACCACCAGAGCCAGGCGGACCACAGTCTGGGAGAAGCCATGCTCCAGAGTGGTGCAGGTATATGTGCCCGCATCGAAACGGCTGAGCCTGCGGAACAGCAGCCCTCGCTCCGTGTGCAAGACTCGCTCGTCCGTCTTCACCTGCCAGGCGGGCGGGAGGGCGTGAGTGTGGTGCGAGGTGGGAGTGTACCATCAGCTTCTCTGCCCCAGCTTTTCTGCCATCCTTGGGGCCCAGTGCCTGGCCACTTCTTGCCCTGTTCTCCCCTTCCCAGGAGAGGACCAGCAGCTTGGCAATGTGGGCCTCCTCTAGACCACGAGCTAATTCAGGTGGGGCCTCACCTTCCCGTAGCCCAGAAAGGGGCCTCCTCAAGGATTTTACTGGCTAGTTTCTCTCTTAGTCAGAGGACACCAATCTTGGCCTCGGAGGGCCCTGGCACACATTCCCAAGGAACAGAGGGGCTAAGATGTTATCCCCTTAGCCCTTCTGGAGGTACCATCCCATCTACAGGCTTTTCTCAAGGGAGGGGCTGTGCCCCTGGGCCCAGGACTAGGCTTCAGAACCTCCCTATACTGCACACATGCACATGCACGCGCGCGCGCGCGCACACACACACACACACACACACACACACACACACAGACACACACACGCAGCCTTCCCATCCTGGTCTGAACTGTTCACACCCCGACGGTGCGAGCTAACAGCCCCAGCCCAGGGTGGGCTGAGCGCCCATCACAGCGTGGGAAGCGGGAGTGCCGTTCTGATCCCAGCTGGCCTCTGGCCTGGACCCTGTGTGGGCTTTAGTCTGCACATCTGTGTGTTGAGGGTGGATTGCTTGGGCCGTCAGCTAGTGTTGTGAAACACCATCTTGCTGCTCCCCTCCTCCCCTGGGGAATCTTCTCAGTGCCCAGCCCAACAGCTGGCCCAAGGCTGGCCTCCCCCAGTTCCCAGGCTGGAGGGAGAGCCCCTCCTGTAATCAATCCACTCATGCCCCTCCCCTTCTCTGCCCCAGCCAATGCCCATCCTCAGGCCCCAGACTTAAACCATCCCTGGGGTTGAGAGACCTTTCCGGATGGGGGAGGAGAGGGCCTGAGCAGACAGCTGGACTCCAGGGAGGAAGTGTGTGGCCAGGCTTTGAAGGTGGAGGGCAAGGACCAGTGGTTAAGGACCCAGAAGGTTCTCTTCTGCTGTGTGTGTGTGTAGCATAGGGAGGTTCTGAAGCCTAGTCCTGGGCCCAGGGCACAGCCCCCTCCCCTGCCTGGGGCAGAAGAGAACCAAGAACCCCTGGAGAAGAGAAACCTTCAAAGATGAGCCATGTGTGTAAATATGGAAGACTTACTGGCCAGCCCAGACCCTCTTCCCTCTCTTCCACCACCCACCTGCCAGACTGGGGGAGTTCCAGCCACATCTGGCCTGGGCATTCCCAGAAGGCAGACATAGGGCACGTCCATCTAGGCACCTCAGGAGCCTAATACACACTTTTCTTAGGTTGATCTTGGCAGGTGCTTCCCCAGAACCCCTTTCTAGGGCTCAGGTCTTGGGGTTCAGGATGGGAAGTGACCTCAGGACATGGAGGCTGGAGGCAGGGGTCTTCTCACTCACCTGGTCAGGCCCCTCATCCCCTGGCCTCTGCAAGAGCCAGCGGACAGCAGCCTGGGGAGACTTGGGCAGGCACTCCAGGAAGGTGCTGTTGTGCTCCGTGCCGTAGACCGTGGTAGCCGCCACAAGTCCCACTGCCTCCTCTGGAGAGAGGCAGAGGTTGGCTCAGGTTGGGAACTATGGGACCCAGATCCCAGTGCCACCACCTTCAGTTCACCACAGTTCAGAAGCCCCACTAGTATGACAAGAACTTAGGTATCCATGGATCCCTAAGCCAGCCACTGTGTCCAAAGGCTCTGCTTCCATGCACTAGCAGGAGCTACACAGAGAGGGAAACAGGACTATCCGTCATAAGAAGACCATTCTGAGAACACACTTTGCAGGGGTGGAGCCGAGCCACAGGGGTGAGTTCCAGCCCAGCCTGGGCCCTCCCACCTGCCACCACTCACCTTCCTGGCTCTGGCCCGGGCACTGCAGGACAGGGTTGCCATGCCGGATGTCCTGCCGGCGGAACCGGCGCTTGCCGAGGCTGGGGCGGTAGTGGGTACAGGAGGCACCGTCCCAGGCACAGTATGGGTCCCGGGCTAGGCAGCACTCTGCACAGGCAGTGCCGTAAGTCTCACACTGGTGCAGCCGCAGCTGGGCCACACCCAGCCGAGAGCCCACATACAGCATTTGCTGAGGAGGGACGGAAGTAGAGCCTGAGGTGAGCCCGGGGTTCGCCCACACGCAGCCAGGCTCTCAGCCCCTTGGCTTCCTGAGACCCCTGCCACTTGCAGGAAGTCTTCCAGAACCTCTTGGATTCATTCAAAAAATAAAAAGTGTTTATCACCCACCTGCTGCATACCAGATTCTGTGCCAGGACACAGAAGGGATGGAGGAGAACCAAGACCTGGGATGTTTTCTCTAAGGGACTTCTCCAGGCCCTCCCAGCTGCTGACCTTTGCCCTCTATCCCAGGGGCCTTTATCCTGACTTGTCCCTGACTTTAGAGGTGCACCTTGCTTTAAGCAATCCTTGCACAAAAGTTAGTATTTGCACAAAGATACACTGAAGCAGATAAACACGGGGAGATGGGTTTTGCCACTTGGCAAATATAGCAGGCCTCTAAAAAGTGGCCTTGTTGGACTTAACATCTGGATTTTGTTTTCAGGCACACTTTTGCCTCCCTTAGGAACTGGGCTTTGTGGCTATCCCCTTATCTGGACGCAGCCCCACTTACTCGGTGCTTCCAATGCCCACTGGCCACTTGTTGCAGGGGCTAATCAGGCCTGCCTCAGCACAGCTTTCCCCAGACTACAGTGGAGCTTGAGGAGGCTGCGGAGCAGGGGCAGAGGAGGAGGCTGTGGAGCAGGGGCAGAGGAGGAGGCTGTGGAGCAGGGGCAGAAGAGGGGTCCAAGAGGAGGGTAGCAGCTGCTCTTACCCTTTTGACAGAGATCTCCATTTCAGTGATAGCTGTTGGCACCTGGGGAAGGAGAAGGGTCTCAGCGTGGGTGGGGTGGACCAGGACCTGTCATTGCCCCCCTGCTTTCGGTCTCCTCCAACCCTGGGGTGGGAACCACCTAGCTCCCAGGCTGGGTCTTGCACTCCTTGGCAGCTAAGGCTAGACAGTCTTTCCCAGACAATGGGTTACAAGAAAGGCCCCCTGGTCATGGCTGGCCTCCAAGCAGGAGGCTTGGCTGAAAGCACAGAGCTAGAGTGTCCCCTCTCTCCACTTGTTCCCCAGCAATGAGGCAGCTGTCCTAAATTACCCAGCTCAGGTCCAGGAGGTACAACAGGCCTCCAAACACAGACTATCCCCTTCCTGAGTCTCTAGAGGGGCCTTGGGGTCTCAACCATCTCCTCCCTGCAACGTGAGCCCAACAGGGTTTTGCAAAGGGTTGCTCCCCTTGACCATCCCTCCCAGCACCCCAGGCACTTTCAGCTCACAGGCTGTAGCTCTGGGCCTCCAGTCATTCATAAGTGGCTGCAAGGCCTCTGCCACAGCGGAGGTGGCGGGGGCATCTCTTTCTGCACCCTCTCCCCAGCATCCTGCCAGCTGCAAATTCAGCAAAGACAGGCTGGCTCCCTACTGGGCTTGCTCCTGCATCCCTGCAGCTAGGCTCAGACCCAAAGATGGGGCTTGGAGGGACCCTTCCATCAGCCCCTTGCTTACCTTAAACACCTGGAGCTCCTCCAGAACCACTTCCTCGGGTTCAGCTGAGCCCCCTGCCTGGAGGGCCATGACTTTGAGCACGGAGCCTGAGTCTGGAGCCAGGGAAGAGGGGTCAGTGGGACAGGAGGGGACAGCCAGGGACCCCACACCCCTCTCCAGCCTGGCCACTCTTGCTCAGCTGTCCTACCAGTCCCCAGGAAGATGACATCGTAGGTCCCATCCTCTGCCTCCACGCGGTCCACCACGATCTGGTGTAGCTGCTGGGCCAGGTGGGTCTTGACAAGGACAGGGCGGCCATGCCGAGGCCGCACAGGCCAGAACATGAGGGGATGGGCTCGGGCAAACTGCAGCACCTCATCTGGGTAGTCCTTGGTGCTGCCAAAAGGCCGCCCTGGCTGCGCAGTCATCTTGCTGGGGCACTGTGGGCAGCAGGGAAGGGAGGGCCTGAGGTATCCTGAGACAGCACACACACCCCCACCACCAGTCTGTTTCCACCCCAACCAGGGCAACCTCTCTCACTGCAGGAGGGCTCTCCTCTCCCACCACACCCACCCCACCCCACCCAGGCCCTCTGGAGCCCAGGCTCAGCCAACGTCCGCTGCCATGGGGGTGCATGGGGACATGGGGCCACTCCAAGGAGCCCTTCCCCACATCTGCTCAGAACTCGATTCCCTGGCCTTGCCCCAGGAGATACTCACCACGCCAGGGCGGGGGAAGGGCACCTTGCCCACATAGGGCCCCCACTGGTGCTGAGGCCCATCTCGGTGGGCAAAGGGCCCGTTGAAGACCTCCCAGATGTCTGCCATGTGGTACACACAGACGGCGAAGCCCTGGAACACGGCACTGCCAGGGCACACGGGACAGTCAGGCCAGAGTGGCCATCAAGGACAAGAAGGGGATAGCCTGGTTCCATGGGCAGGACACAGGATAATAGTGCCTGTGCAAGCAGAGACTCCAAAAAGCAAAGACCCCAAGGCAAAGGCAAAGAGAGACTCAGAGAGTACAGTCATAGGTCACAAAGACGGGGTCCATCGCAAGGCCAGGGTGCTGGGTGCAGGGAAGCTGGGTGTGCCCACCTGACAGTGCTGAACAGCGCATACACCTCAAGGCTTTTCCCGGCCTTGGGCCATAGCAGGAACACGTCCTCTGGGGTAGAGAAGGGAGCACGAGTGTCATGGCCACTGCCAATGCCCTGACTCACCAGCTCTCAGCCCTCCCTAGTCCCGAGCCCTAGACCTGCTTGGCCAGGCCCTCACCTAGCTGGTCAAAGTGGGTCTCGGCACCACCAGGGCCGGGCACTGAGCAGACCAGCCTGGCCTTGAGGAAAGTGCTCCATTTGTTCACCAGCACCCGCTGGCCCCCAGCATCATTCTGCAGGATAAGGGGCCAGAGTCAGCCTTGGGCCCCACGAGGATGGGTCCCACCATCCGCTCTAATACCCTCGCCCACTCGGGGAGAGGTATGCATGTCAGCTTTGCATCCTTGCCTCAGTTTCCCTACTGCTGGCCAGGGGTTGGGGGAGAAAGGTCTGGGAATGGGAGGGTGCAGCGGGGACTTGAACCTCACCACCCCTTCCCAGCTCTCACCACACAGACGCGGCCCACGCGGCTGACAGTGACATAGTTCGAGCCACCATCGGGCGAGGGGACAGTTTCTGAGAAGAAGAAGTACACCTTGTCATTGTCCTGGTCAGAGTTCTCAGGGATCCGGGCGGCCATCACAAACCGGGGGTCTGGAAGGGCGACAGGGTCATGCTGGGTGGAGGGGCCCCACAGGCAGGACGGGAGCAGAACCCAGTGGGGAGAGGAATGGGGCAGGCGGCTCCCACTAGAGGCTGGTGTCCTAGCCGGGAAAGTAGCCTCTTCCCCCGTGCCAGTCCCAGGGGCAGGCCTCACCGTGCAAGAGGCTCTGGTCAGAGTCAGAACGCAGAGCTGGCCGAGGACCTCCGCTTCGGAAGATCATGGCCTCTCGCCCCAGGAAGTCAGCGGTGAGACCCGTGTACAGCTCCCCGCCTGGGGTGGGGGTTGGGGAACAGAGTCAGGGGAGGAGGCCCAGGCCCAGCAGCCGGGTCCCTCCCTTCTCAGTGACATAGGCCAGCTGCCACCCTCCCTGTTCCCACCCTGGCCTGGGCATCACCCACCTACAAAGGTGCTGGCAAAGGGACGGCTGGGTTCGTGAGGGCACCGCCCCCGGCCGCTTTCCACACTGCCGGGCTCCAGGTGGAGCACATGCTAAGGGGAGGGAGAGAGGGAGGGAGGGGCGTCACCTGGGAGACACGCGCCAGCAGCCCACACCCAAGCAGGAGCCCTTGCGTGCAGCTAGAGAGTGGGGGCGGGCGGAAGGCGTCCTCATCCAGGGCCCCTCTAATGGGGTCAGCTCCCCGACACAAAGGCGCCTTTCTGTCCCTGCCCTTCTGTCCCTACCCAGGCTCAATGGGAACGTTCAGGCAGCAGGGAGGAAATGTCACTGCCTCCCAGTCCCTTGTGGGGCCTGGCCCAGGCTCACCTCCCCACGGTGGCCCACTGTGATGAGGGCGCAGGTGGGCTGGAAGGCCCCAGTGCCACAGGCTAGCAGGTGGGTCCGGTTGTGAGGCTGCAGCACCCGCACGAAGTTGGCACACTCTGTCTGTGGGGAGAAGGAGTGGGTGGCTGAGGGGTGAGAGGGGGTGCTCGCCAACTCCTCAGGGCCCAAGGCTCAGCCCTGTCTGGCAGTCAGCTCTGGGGAAGGGGGTGGGTGTGACATTCCCAGCAGACCTTCAAAAGCCCTCAGGATCTGCTCCAAATGCCCCTGGTAGAGGCAGCTGGGGCGTGGCCACAGACTATCCTGAAGGTCAGGGCAGGGTGTCGGGTTGAGGGGCCATCCCTCCCGACAGCACTCACCAAAGGATCTCTTCCCTTTTGAACACACTCCTCCCTCTGTCCTGGCTGCGGCGGCCACAGGACCTGAAACACAGCCTGGCTGACCTCAGGTCCTCCCCTGATCTCACAGGCTCAGTTTCCCCATGTGGCCTCCCATCTGGAGGTGCCCAGCTCTCAAACAGACCCCCTGCCCTGCCAGTCCAGCTCACCTCCCGGGGATCTGGCCACGCCTGGTCCAGTCGCAGAGAGTAGAGGGCATCCAGGCCACCCAGAAAGAGGCGGTCCCGGTACTCATCTAGGTACATGGCCTGGAAGTTCAGGGAGCCCCGGGGGCCCAGAAAGATGGCAGAGCGGTTGGCAGATAGGAGGTCTAGGAGGGAGTACAGGGAGGCAGATCAGGGCCATGGCTCAGCCTAGTTCCCCAGCCAAGGAGTGGAGGTGGAGGCTCCGGCTGAGCATCCACCTCTGACACACTCACATCTGGAAAATGTTTCCATCCACGTGGTGCTGGAAGGTTTTTGGACCATGGCTCCTGGGGACAGGTGGGACGGGAGGCTCAGAGCCTCCCACCCAGCCCAGCCTATCCTGGGACCTACCTCCCACCCCTCCATTCCTTAGCCCTTCATCGTGCAGCTATCTTCCCACTGTCCCATCTGTGCCCTACCCAGTCCCCAGGGAGGATGGCCCCAACCAGCAGAAACTAGAGCAAAGTGCTGGAAGATCCTGGAGGAAGGGCGGGAGTCTTTGCAAGCCGCCTGACTCAGCTGGAGGGTGGGCCAGCAGGCAAAAGTGTTCCCAGCAGAGGGGACCCCTGGCAACCGCCTGGGTGCAGGAGAGGGCAGGTGTGGCCAGGAAGGGCTCCCACCTCCAGTCCAGGTCTGTGGCCGAAGAGAATTTTCTCCCCATAGATGTTGGCCATCCCGGCCCCAGAGATGAGAGCCGGGAGCTGTCTGGGGACGTTGGTCCCAGGAGTTGAGGATCCTGAGGTAGGTCCTCAGGCTTGGCTGGGGAGGGGGAAGTAATGGGGGCAGTAGGATGTGGTAGGAAGGGGGCACTGACCACCTTTGGGAAGGCCCAGAGTGTCCTATGCCTTCCCTACAGAAGCATCTCCACCCAACACCCATTCCACCCCCAAAACTCATCAACAGTCTCTTCCGGGAAGCCCTCCATGGATGACAGTACCTTGGGGAACTTTCCCTATTTGGGGCTTTTTCTAGTAGTCTGACCTCCTGCCAAAACCACAGGTCCCAGAATAAGACCACATTCCCCTCAGCCTCTCCAGGAGGGAGTGGTGTCTCCCCCACCAGACTGGGCTTCCCAGGGGAAGGTGGTCACCCCTCTGGTTTCCTTAGGAAGGATCTCCCAAGAGCCTGTCTCAGGGGCCTTCCCCGGGCCCGTCCGTGGAGGCCTGAGCCGGCTCACATGTCTAGGGTAGAACACAGGAACCCCCAGGCTGGGATGGGCAAAGAGGGGAGGTGAAACTCCCCCTGGGCTGAGGCACTTCTTGGATGGGGGAGCACATGAAGAAACCCACTCTGGGAAGTGGGCTGCAAGGGGTTCCTCCCCTTCTCTGTGGCCCCAGGACCAAGGGATAGAGTGCTGCCCACTCTCCCATTGGCCACCCTGGGCAAAAAGTGCCAGCTGAGACCAGACAGACCCTTCAGCCCCATCCTTTCTGTCCCTCTCCCCTGCCTGGTCCCTTCCTCTGTCCCCTCCCCATCTTTATTGAGTTCTCTCGGGGTTTCCATCTGTCCCTTTCTCAGCAGTCCCCCTCAGGTCCCTCCCCACCACCCTGGTCCTGTCTCCCAGGACCTGCCTCTCTCCCACTCCCCTACAGCTGGCCAGGCACCCAAGAGCCCAAGGCACCCAAACAGGGCACATGCACACAAACAGAGCACATGCACACAAACAGAGCACATGCACACAAACAGGGCATGCAGGGGCTGGTACCTCGGTAGGAGAGCCGCAGGCGGGGCACACTGGGGCCAGGGCTGGGGCCGGAGCTACCCCCATGGAGCAGGAGGCCCCCTAGCAGCCAGCAGATGGCCCAGGCCGAGGGGGCCATGCTGGGGAACTGAGGGCACCGCTGCCGCCTGCCTGCAGAGCCGCCCTCTGGTCCTGCTGGCCGCCGGCTGTAGTTTGCTCTGCTGCCACCAGGCCACCACTTATAAGGCAGTGGCTCCACCCAGTCCTGGGCGGGAAGAGGGACGGGGGAGAGAAGGAGGCCGGGGCCTTGCCGTCCACCTGCCACTTCTCCTTCCACCTTGTTGGCCCAGTGCAGGCCTTTGTGTCACACTGGCCAGCTAACTCTCCATTGAGAAGACCTTCCCAGCTGGGGCACGGGCCATGTGTACAGAGATGTCCACAAATACAGGTCCTCAGGCTCCAGCAAAGTGACAAGTGGGGAGAGAGCCTGGAAGGGAGGTCAGGGATCAGAGGTCGAGGTTGATGGGCTGGGTAGAGGCCGAGCTGGGCTCTGCCTTGTTCTCTGCCCCTCCACTGCCCACAGCAGAGACCTTCCAAACTGGCCCTGCCCCAATTCCAGGATGTTCCAGCCTCCTGAAGCCTCGGCCAGAGGGGGCACCATGTCCTAGGCTGGTGTTTGAGGTCTGGCAACACTTCATAGAGCCAGCAAGAGATGACTGCCCAGCCTCTTCCACCCAGGCCTGTCCCCCTCTGGCTTCCAGCCACCCCAGCCTCTCGCCACATCTACAGGCCCCATCTCAGCTCACCAGGCTTGCTTTGGGGTAGGGGACAAGGGCATTAGGGGACCCCATGCTGAGGGAACCTCCCCTTGCCCTGCCTCCCTCAGGCCTCCAGTACTTCCAGAGACTCAGGGTCCAGAGCTTCACCAGGTCAGTGATGGTTCTTCCCAGGGACCTCATACCCCAAAGGCCCTGCAGACACCTGTGCTCTCTCAGAGCTCACTCCACCTGCCCTGAATGCTGACTGGGAAGCAGCGGGGCGGGGGGGGGGGCCACAGAAAGCCATAGAAGAGGGCCAAACGGGAAATGGTACTGAGAACCTGAATCTGGGGTGAGTGACAAGATCTCCCCATGCTCCCTGCTCCAGAACAGTTCCCACCTCACCCCACCCCAGAACCCTACACTCAGAACCTGAGGCCCTGGGCACTAAAGAGATTTTAATCTTGAGCTGGAGTTTGAATTCCCAGGATTCTAACAACTCCTGCAGGTTGGGCCTCCCACATGGACTGGCCTGGACCCTCTGGTAAGTTGTGGGGGACTCAAAGAGGAGGAAAGGACCTGGCCTAGGCCACAGAGCAGGCTGAGAATGGGTCCAGCTCAGCCCTGCCCCTTTCTGGGACCCTCCTTTGCTTCTGGGCCTTCTTGGGAATATGGGGACCCCACCCTCCTCCCCTACCTCAATCCTGAAATGGAAACAGGCTTGGCTTCTTGGGTCAGCATGACAGGTCCTAGAGACCTACAACTCTACCTCCCTGTCTCCATTTCCCTTCACTCACACATGCCTCCTTCAGCAGGGGGCTGGCCTGGAGGTGGGCAAGGGGCTGCCCAGAGAGACCAGTGATGGAGCTCAGCCCAGCCCTGCCTCTAGCCCTGCTAGAACGCCTTGGCCAAGGCCTTTCCATCTCTGCCTTGTTCTCTGCCCCTCCACTGCCCACAGCAGAGACCTTCCAAACTGGCCCTGCCCCAATTCCAGGATGTTCCAGTCCCCTGAAACCTTGGCCAGACTCTCCAGCTCCCCTGGTTAGGGGTGGGGGGTCATTCTCCTCCCAGATGGGGAGGGACCTCCTCCTCCCAGGGCCGGGGATCAGCCATCTGGGTGTAAGCAGCCTTTATAACCTGACGAGTGGGCTTGCGCAGGGACTGCTGTCAGGGGGACCATATCCTGGGACCCTGGGGTGGAGTGCTTCTGCCTCAGTTTCCCTGGGGAGGTGTGGCCAGCACACTGCCCAAGTTAGGGCCAACTTCTAACTGGAGACTGAACCAGGCAGCCCTTCAGCCAGCATGTGACCAACAGCGGCGGGCAGGTGGCCCAACACTCCTCAGCCTGCCAGCCCACCCTGGGGTCTCAGCTCAGCCAGACGCCCAGCAGGGGCTGCAGGAAGGCCTGGGTCGACTGGAGCAGGGTATGCGGGCAGCCTACTCCACACTGGGGAAACAGCCTGCGGCAGGCTGGGAGTCTGAACTCTACTGTTAACGTGTGTGGCCTCAGTCAGGTCCTCTCCCTCTCCGGGCTTCAGTTTTCCAGGCTAGGGGGCAGGGGGTAGGGATCCTCTCTAAAGGCCCCCCTGCTTGCCAGCTGCAGGTGGGAAAGACCCCAAGGGTGCCCTGAATTCGCGGATCAATGGGCCCAGACACGGGTATCTTGTGCCATCTAGTGGACAAAGAAGGAACTGCAGGAGGCCCCCAAACTCGCAGCGTTGGGGTAGCAGGGCCATCCAGCAGAAACGGCAGTCTCTTCAGGTCGCTAGCAGTAACCAGGCAAACACAACATAAAGAAGTAGGAGCAGTGGAAGATGCTCCAGTGATTGCTCTTGATGGAGGAAATCAAGGGAGGCTTCATGGAGGAAGCACTATCCAAGCAAAAGTCCAGAAATGGAAAGGATGCAGCAAAAGAGGCAAAACTAGATGATTCATGTAGGACGCAAAATGCCGTGTACTGGTGGGAGATGGTGAGCTGGGCTGATACCTATGTGAGGTGCGTGTTCATGCAGCAGGTGCCACCAGGTGGGTATGTGGACGGTCACAGCCCAGCCTCTCCCAGCCAGAATTCTAGGGTGGGCATGCCTGGAAGGAATGGATGCCCCCAGTCCCCTCCCCACCAATTTCATGGATGGAACAGGGATATTAGGACAATGTCATGCCCCCTCCACCCCCACGGACCTCCAGCTGCTTGCAGAGGGTGAGCCCCCCCGCTTCCCATCAGCCATCCCTCACAGCTCCACCCTCCCCACCCCAACCCTCCCACAGTCTCCTCTGGGACTTCTATCTGCAAGTGGGGCCATTCATCTTCTCTTCCTGTCCAGGACTTGTCCCCCTCCCTGCCACAGCTGATGAAGAGAGATCCAGGACATGGCAGAGCCCTTCTTCCCCCATTGCCCCTTCCTGACAATCCTCACTCCCTTCTACCCGAGCACACGTGGCCCTTGTCTGAGGCAGCAGCCTGCCCCCAGAATGCACCCTCTCTGTAGCTGGCCCAGACACTCTCCTGTTTCCTTCACAGAGGCCTTAACTCTCTTCGCCCCAATCCCACTGACATCCCACATCCCTGGTACCCTCCTATCTCTTGGGTCACTGTCTTCCTCATTGTCATGGTCCCCTCCCCCTACCTCAGCTACCCACCCTCCAGGTCACTACCAATAAAGGCATGACCTTCTGCCTGTCCATTTGGAACATCCCTTCCTCTGGACATCACCATCGGCAGCTCAGCACCCCCACTGCCACATCTTTCACTCGCCGAGGCCCATCTGCCTGCCCCTCCTTGCCTTGAGACTCCTTTTTCTCCCTGTACAGCTTGCACCTGTGACCAGCTCTAGAATCGGGCCCTGGCAGACACTGTCCGGGGCCCAGTAGCCACTGGCCAGCTGCAGAGCTTGCCTACATCTCACATGGCCCTTTTCCTGTTTCACTGGGTTGATACCCCAGCATACAAGCCATTCCCTTACCCCTTCTTTTTTTTTTTTTTTTTTTTTTTTTTTTGAGACAGAGTCTCGCTCTGTCGCCCAGGCTGGAGTGCTGTGGCCGGATCTCAGCTCACTGCAAGCTCCGCCTCCCGGGTTCCCGCCATTCTCCTGCCTCAGCCTCCCGAGTAGCTGGGACTACAGGCGCCCGCCACCTCGCCCGGCTAGTTTTTTGTATTTTTTAGTAGAGACGGGGTTTCACCGTGTTAGCCAGGATGGTCTCGATCTCCTGACCTCCTGATCTGCCCGTCTCGGCCTCCCAAAGTGCTGGGATTACAGGCTTGAGCCACTGCGCCCGGCCCCTTACCCCTTCTTAAACAAGCTTCCCTGGACCCCACATCGCCCCTCAGCTTGGGTCCCTTTCTCTGTTCCCTGGGTGTTGCCCACACCCACCATCTCCCCTGTACTTCAGCTCACTCCTGTCAGGCTCCCACCCCTCTGCTCCACGGAAACCCTCCTGCTCAGGCGGCCGAGGCCTGGGGGCCTGCAAGTTCCCAAACCCTGGGGCCACCAGACAAACCCAAAGTGAGTGAGATTCTACAGAATAACTGGCCTGAGCTCTTCAGACGTGACGAGGAAACACGGAGGACCGTCACAGACTGGAGGGGAGTAAGGAGACAGGAGGATGAGGTCACTCTAGTGCCATCTTGGATTGGCTCCTGCTCCAGGACAAGGACTTTAGGACAACTGACAGAACTCCAATAAGCTCTGCAGATTAATTAGCAGTGTTTATGTCAATATTCATTTCCTGTGTTTGATCCTTCTGTGGTTAAAATGTTAACCACAGGGAAGCTGGGGGACCTGTAAATGGGAGTTCTTTGTACTATTTTTTGCAAGCCTGGAATTTCAAAATGAAAAGAAAAAAACAAAAAAGCCAACTAAAACCTAGTGTTGGGAAGTAACCTCCACTTCACAATACCCCACGGCTGAACCTGTGCCTCCCCCCAGCTTCCTTATCTCAGGAAATGGCAGTTTGGCCAAAAAGCTAAGGGTCATTTTGGATTTTCCTATTTCTCACCCCTCACATTCAAGCCTTCAGCAAATTCTGTCCATCCTAGTTCCAAAATGTGCCTTGAATCCATGCACCCCCGACCCCCTCTCCCTAGCATCCCACTGTACTGGGAGCCACCGGGCTTTCTTGCCCAGAGCCTGCCCCCACTTCATGCCAGCTCCTGGGACCCTCTCTCCCACCCCTTCTGTCCTCTGCAGCCCTCACCCCTCACATTGACTGGGTCCTCATGGGGCCTGGCACTGCCCACGTCTCCCAAGACTGCTGGGGCTTGGTTTCCAGCCCAACACTGCCTTTCTGCTCCTGAGACCTTCCCAGTCTTTCTCCATGGCCTCCCATGGCTGGTTCCCTGTGGTTCCCCCAGATCTCACGCACAGGCAGCTCCTCCAGGGAGCTTTCCCAGACCACTCTAACTCATGGGCCCACCACGCCTCCAGTCTCCACTCCAGCCCGTGCTGGTTTTCCCACTGTACTCATCTCCTTAAAATTCCACCAGATTTGGCTGGGCACGGTGGCTCACACCTGTAATCCCAGCACTTCAGGAGGCCAAGATGGGTGAATCAGTTGAGCTCAGGAGTTCAAGACTAGCCTGGGAAACATGGTGAAACCTCGTCTCTACTAAAAATACAAAAATTAGCCGGGTGTGGTGGCGGGCGCCTGTAATCCCAGCTACTCAGGTGGCTGAGGCACAAGAATCGCTTGAGTCTGGGAGGCAGGGGTTACAGTGAGCCAAGATTGCGCCACTGCACTCCAGTCTGGTGACAGAGCAAGACTCTGTCTCAAAAAAGAAACAAAAATCCACCAGATTAGGGACCGGGCCTCACTGTGACATGCCCCAGCATCCAGCCCGTGCTGGGCACATGGGAGGTATGTGATGAACCACTGAGTGGTACACTGGCTGGTGGTGCTGCCCAATGTGGCCCTTCCTTTTCTCCTTGGATGTCACCCTTCCTGGGTCACTCTGGGTGTCTGTAGAGGTCCCCAATTCTCCAGCTCACAAGGGCAGGCCTAAAGGGACTCCCCTCCACTCCCCTCAGGTCTCTCCAGGGACCAGAAAGTTCTTGCTAGCTCTGGCCTCCACCAGAGGCATCTTTAGAATTCCAAGACCATCTCTGGAATGCTGGGCCTGTCTGGGGAATGCCAAGGCTGGGGCACAGGTGCAGAGAGTGGAGTGGCTGGGCGGGGCAAGGACAGCTGATGGCATTCTGGCTAGAGTCTGGGTGCTGCTGGCAGCTGTCCCTCCTGCGAACACCACTGCTGACACCTCCACTTCCTTGCAGCCCCCAATGCCCATGCCCCCAAGACAGCATCACTGTCTGGCAGCAGCTCTGGACTGGGCGCTCCCACTAAGCTGAGAGCTGCCAGGCCTTGGGCCTCTGTCCCTGTCAGGGAAAGAGACTGGGCCACAGGAGACGAGCCTCTGAGGTTCACAGGAACTGGAAGTCACGCCCATTTGGATGTGGCCCATCCGACAGGGCCCTTGGCTGGAAGCCAGCTGGCTCTGCTCTCCCCCACACTCACTGGATGACCTTAACAGGTCCCTGTACCTCTCTGGGCCAAACAGGTGAGGGGAGGTAGAGCCAACTCCATGCGCCTCTGGCCCTGGGAGTCAATGTTGCTGGCAGGAAATACAAGTGAGTGGGCGGGTGAACTAGCACTGTGGGCCTGCAGGGACCCCACAGGCTCAGCTCCATTCCAGCCACGGCTGAGAGGTAACGGGGGTTGCTCTGCCAGGCAGCATTCAGGGCCTAGCTGTGTACCGCAGTGAACCACTCTCTCCAAGGAGAGAACCCCTAGGCTGCCACAGTGGTTGACCAAAGTGATGGCCCCCAGGAACTTGTAGGGGTTCTAGGCCCCCACAGACTCCAGATGCTGAATCCCTGGAGATGGTGCCTGGGCATGAGGAGTGATAGAGGGCAGCCAGCAGGGCAGGCCACACAGCAGTCTCCGATCTCATCTCACTCCCCGCAGAAGGCAGTGTGGAGTGGCGGTCAGGCACCAGGCACTGCAACCAGCCTGCCTACGACAGGGAAGGAAGCAGTCATCGGGTAAGAGTGAGTCCTGAGGAAGAGTCCCCGGCCCAGGGACACCAGAGGCAGACAGCAGACCTCCGGGGAGCACGCTTTATTTGCATCTCCCAGGACAGAGTTGGGGAGGGAGTCAGGGGATTTGGGGTTGAGGATATGGCCAGGCTCAGGTCCTGGGACCCCAACCCCCTCCCCAACCCCAGGACTCAGCTGGAGTTGGAGGCTGGGCATGGGAAGCTCTGGGTGAAGGTCAGCATCTACTCCACACCCTTCATGAACTCCAGGAACTCTGTGGAAAGAGGGGCAGGTGTGGGTCGGGGGTGGGGGCTGGGCAGGGCATGGAGGCAGGGGACCAGCCCACCTACCCACTTACCATCATAGTCAATGCGGCCATCGTTGTTCTTGTCTCCGTCCTTCATGAGCTCCTCGATGTCGTCCTCCGTGATGGTCTCGCCTGTAGCCTGCAGCATCATCTTCAGCTCATCCAGGTCGATGTAGCCATCAGCGTTTCTGTGGGGAGGGGGCTCAGGGTAGGACTGTGGGGAGGGCATAAGGCAGCCCCACCCATGCCCCAGGAGGCAGAGCAGGGACACTGGGAGATGGGGCATCCCTCTCCCCAATCAGGCAGAGGCCGCAGGGTCCCTAGGCCTGGAATCTGAGACCGCCCTCCTCTCCAGTTTGGCTTGAGTGTGGGTCAGGGTCAGAGGTCAAGGGTCACATGCTCACTTGTCAAACATGCGGAAGAGGTCAGACAGCTCCTCCTCAGATTTCCCTTTGCTGTCGTCCTTCATGCACCGAACCATCATGACCAGGAACTCATCAAAGTCCACCGTGCCGCTGCCTGGGGGTGGGCGGCATGGCCGTTACAGAGGCCGGGGTAGGTACTGCAGGCAGCACCTTTGACATGAACCCCCATGTTCTCACCGCACCCTCACACCAAATGCCAGGCTTCTGTGGCCATTATGCCCATTTTATAGATGAGGCAACTGAGGCTCAGATAGGCAAAACCGCTCCCAGCTAAACAGAGCCAGCATTCCAGCCCCCAGCCAGCTGGGGTTCTTCTGGAGCCTGGGGAGGAGGGGGCTCACCGTCCTCGTCCACCTCGTCAATCATCTCCTGCAGCTCCTCAGGGGTGGGGTTCTGGCCCAGCATCCTCATCACCTTGCCCAGCTCCTTGGTGCTGATGCAGCCATCCTCAGCACCCAGCACGAAGATGTCAAAGGCTGCCTTGAACTCTGTGTTCAGGGGTTGGGGGGCACAGTAGTCGGGGCTCAGCAGCCAGGACCTCAGAAGGCCAGAACCCTGGGGCCATCTGCCAACCTGCCCACCTCCCTCAGAGACCTCTCTGAGGTCAGAGCAAGAGGGACCAAGCCTCTGCTCTCTGGTCTGAGGTCCTCTTCTGGTAAGGGGTCCCCATGCCAGCCTGGCCCCGCTGGTCTCCCACATGTGTGATAGGGGTTCTCACCATTTTTCTGCTCTTCTGTCAGCTGCTCTACCTAGAAAGGAAAGGGATTCTCAGGGCTCAGACTCAGGTATAGCTGCTGCTGAGGAAACCAATCCATTCCACAGGTGAGAAGGCTGGAGCCGGAGGAGGCAGGCTATTTCCAGGCCACAGGGCGGAGGTCTCAGTCCTCCCTCCCTGCCCCCAAAGCCCTGATGTGACCCAGCTGGCCTCACTGAGACTGGGCTGAGGGCCAGGGTGACAGGTGGGCACCCCCTTCAGGGCCAAGGTGACCCTCAGTAACAATAGTCAGTGACCACTCAATGCCCTTTCAGCCCCTGATGAAACTCAAGCCGGGTGGCCCGAGGGACAGCTGTCCCTCAAGTTGGGACAATAAAACCAGTGTGGGGGCAGGCGAGCCACCCACTGTAACCTGACCAGGGTGGCCACTGGGCTATTTTTAATGAGGAACAAAGTTAAACCTGGTGATTGTTCTGGGGACTTTGGCATGCAGGGGGTGGGGCAGCGTTATCTGGCCCCCTGGCCTGCTAGTGCCGCCTCAGGAGCCAAAATTAGTCCCCAGCTCCGCCAGGCCTTGTATGGGCACTGGGTGGAGGGCTGCCCCCACTCCAGCTCCATGGATTCCCACAGGATAAGCAGGCGTGCCCCCAGAGCTGGCTGTAGCACTTCCCTGCCCAGGAGTGAGGGAGGCTGAGGGAGGGGTTCCCCTGGGGACAGCTGTTCATTCCAGGATGTCCTTGCTCTGGGGTTGGGGGAGGTCACCACCACCCCTGGATAGAATAGCATCTGAAGACCCCCAGTGACCCAGGAGGCTGCAGGGGCTTGGGGTGACCACTCTCCAGCCCTTGTTCCCTCGCTCTCACCCCTATCTAAGCCACTGAGCGCTGAGCCTGCCAGGCATGATGGGAGCTGGGGCCCCAGTTCTCTGTTCCTTCTTCCTTGGTTTTCCCTCATGTCCAGAACTTCCCTGCCTCAAACTTCAAAGCCCCATCTCCAGCCCAGGACTCAAGCTCTGCAGCCCACTCCTCTCACACCCTCCACCTCCCAAAGCATCTTCGGCCAGTCAAGGGGCTGGAGTGGGGTAGCAGATTTTGAGCATGTGAGAAGCATAATGTGAGGGGCAGAAATGGGGGTTGGGGACAGGGAGACAGTAATGGGGACTCAGACAGCTCAGGAGGAAGAGATGAAAAGAGAAAGGCAAAAATGTCCAGAGACAAATGCAGAGACATGTGGCTGAGCGACAGTGCCTCAGACTACAGACACTTGGAAACAGAGAGTGAGACATGATGCTGAAAGCTGCGACATCCTCCACCACCCTTCAGAACCTGAACTCCCATCCCTTCTGCATCCCCAAACACCAGAACCACTGTCCCTGTGACAGCCTGGATTGAAGGCACGTAGGCTTTCTCCTGGGTCCCCACCACTTCCCTGGGGCTACTGGCCTCCCATTCTGAGCTGAGTGAGCCCCCAGTGGGCCTGCCCACCCCAGCCCTACCCAGCCCTGTCCCTCACCGCAGCCTTGTAGATGTCATCCATGCTGGCGGCTCACAGGACAGCCTGCTGGGGTTGCCAGCCGGCCCTTGACTTAAATAGCCCTGCCCCACCGCATTCCTGGCCCAGCCCAACCCAGCCCAGCCCATCCCTGCATGTAGTATCCTCCAGTCCCTCCTCTGGTCCCAGTGATCTCAGGCTGGCCTGAGTCCCCGTGTCCTCTGCCCAGGGCATGAAGCAGATGAAGGGCTACAAGGACCAGGTTTCTTTCCCTCCTGTCCCCCACACTCCCCAAGGGACTCTCTGAAAAGGTTTCTGGAATGAATGAAAACATGAGTCCAGTGCAGGACAGGAGTTACGAAGTCGTGGGCCCTAGGCAAGGCCCGGGCAACACAGCAGCTCAGGCTCCCATCCAACCAGGGAGGCGGGTGCCATGACCACCACTTTCCAGATAAGGAAATTGAGGCTCTGGAGGAGTGGTGATTTGCCCAAGATCTGACTGACTTGGCAACCCCTGCCTTTAACTCAACCTCTCTGGAATGGGGGTGCAACGTGCAAGGAGAGGCTGGGAGTGCAGGGCCCTGCCAAGAGAAGCCTTGAATATCAAGCTCATAGTACGATGCTGTGGAACTGGTGAAGGAGGAAGTGACTGATCCACCTTAGGACAGGGTGGCCAGGAGCCTTCTGCCAGAGGAGCCTGCCCCAGACCTCCCATCCGCCCAGGGAGAAGTACTCACTTCGGGCTTAAGTCAGCTGCTGTCAGTTATTCAACAGCACCCCTACAGATGCCCCATCTGTGGCAGGCTCCTTTCCTCCTCACCCTCTAGTTAGGTTACCACCTCCCTCTTCTAGGTCTCATTTTTCCTTGGTTTAGGACTCAGTTCCCCATTCTAGCACTGTAGTTCCTGGGTCCAGGTCAATCTGTCTCCCTCGTTTTAAACTCTGGCAGGCCACCCCGTGGGGTTCTTGTGCTCAGTGGCGGCACACACCCCTCCATCCACCTACACCCTCCTTCGTACAGAGTTCGTATCAAGTTTATCCCTCTTGATAAACACGCTCCCTGCCTCGAGCACTACTGCGTGCCGGGCCGCGCATGAACCGACCCACTCAGTTGTCCATGGAGCCCCACTGACAAGAGATCTCCGAGTCTCGGAGAGGTTCAGAACTGGCCCAGAATCGTTCTCGCCCTGCTCCGGCGGTAAGCACAGGTCCTGTTTTCCCCTCCAACCCGCCTTGCCCTAAAGAGAAAGAGCTCAACAGCCAGGTGAGGCACTATTATGGCCTCCTTTATCCGGAGGAGTAAACTGAGGCCAGGAAGAGCAGTGACTTGCTTCGTCTAGCCCGGAAGGCTCGAGACCTTCTGTCCCCTCTTCCCGAGGACGGAGGGGCGATGCCCAGAGCTGTAACCACCAGGGGTCTCAGTTTCTAGCAGGTTGCGCAGTGTACCTCCCGCCGCGCCAAGCAGGTAGAGATTACGCAAGCGAGCACCGCGCACGCGCGCGCTGTGGGTGGTGCCTGTCAATCACGCACGAGGGGCGGGGCGAGGGCGCAGGAAGAAGGCGGGGCCAAGATGGCGGCGCAGCGCGCGGCGGGGGCGTGGGGCGGCGGGGGCTGGGGGGCGGTGGGACGTTGACCCCGCCCCCTACTGCTGCCAGTCTGCGCCGGGCGGCGGCGGCGGCGGAGACCCGAACATGGCGACGCTGCGCACCTTCGGGCCCGAGCGGGAAGCCGAGCCGGCCAAGGAAGCTCGCGTCGTGGGCTCGGAGCTCGTGGACACTTATACGGTTTGTTGGGGGCGCGGGCACCTGAAGCGGGGGTGGTGGCTGGGACCGGGAGTCCGACTTGGGGGCTTGGGGAGGGGTTCGGGATCTGCAACCCTGAGGAGCGGGTAGAAGGGTCTGCGATTGCGAGGGGGCTGGGACGGGGGATCTAAGGAAAGGGATCTGGGCCTCGCAGGTTCGGGTGAAGGGTTGCTCGGGGCCTGGGGAGGCGGTTTGGAAAAGGGTACGCGATCAGAAAGGGAGGCTCGGGTTGGGGGCGGCATCTGGGGATAAAGGGGGCCTGGGGAGGGGGGTGTCTAGATGAGGCGAAACGCCTCTAGATCCTCTAGGACTGGAGGGGCCCCGGCCTGAGAGACCGTTACTGGGGTTCAGGAGAAAGGCGATGGGGAGAGGGTCTCTGATGGATGGAATCAGGGAAAAGGGTCAGGCTCCGCAGGCCTTGAAGAAAGAGAAGGCGCCAGCACCCTGATCTGGGAAGCCTGCGGTGGTGGTTGAGATTTTCTCTGAGAAGTGAAGGATAGACCTGGGGGGCAGACGCCTTGGGGGTCGGGCGGAGACAAGAACGGAGGACGGGTGGAGCCCAGCTGTGGAGAAATAGGGGTGGTCTCAGTGCTGAAGCGCAGGCCCTATAAACCTTAGGAATCTTCGTGACTTTGGGCTGTGGGAGCGAGATGGGGCAACAAGCTGCGCACACACACTTCTAAGCTATGGGGGAGACAGAGGACAAATGGGGGGTAGTTTCCGACTCTGATGGGGTTGGATGCCAGGCCTGTGAGCCTGGTGGGCTGCCTGGCAAAAACTAGGCATTGAGCACCTCCCTGCTTCATCCCCTTTGTTCCCGCAGGGTAGGGAGTGGGTGGGGGCCTTGGCCCTGCCTGCACCCCCCTCCCTGGCCCTCATCCTAACCTCCCCCTCTGAGGGCCATTCATCGGGCTCTTTTCTCCTTTCCTGAGGGCAAAGGGAAGGAATCAGGCAGGATGGGAAGAGGAGAGGGGTGGATCCTGGAGCAACAGGCCAGCCTGGAGAAATGGCTGCTCCTCAGGGCTGGAGAAGGCTTCAGCTCCATGCTGCAGAGAGGAGAGGGAAACTAGGTGCAGGAGGCGGGTGAGGTCTCTGAGCTGATGGCTGGCACCTTCAGCAAGAGGGCCATCTTCAAAAAGCTCTCCCTATTCTGGACTGCACCCCTCCTCTGCATGTGTGTCGGGGGAGGTGGTGATCTAGATTGGACCCTACCATCCTCTGTCTCCGGGTGTGCCGGGTTGGATATTATGAACACACCTACCCTTTGAACACTTGCCATGGGTCAGGCCCATGGACAAAGCATTTTACATGCATTGCCTTACTTGGTCCTTGATTCTAAGATGGAGGAACTGAGGCTCAGAGAAAACTTAGGCTCCAAGTTAATTATATAAGTGACACATAAGCTGCAGCCAGGAAATGACAGAACCAGGTTTTTAACCCAGGCCTTCCTTAACCTCTAGGCCATATTGCCTCCTGATAGAGCTTAGTTGCTACCACTCCCTCCCCACATCAGCTACTTGTGCCTTGATTCCTGGCTCAGTAGCAGAAATCACAGCCATGAACCAGTTGAAAGGGTTGGAAAAGGACTTGCTTCCAGGAGGGTAGGGCACCTGGAAAGAAGTACAACAGAGAAGATGCTCAGGCTACAACTGGCCCTCCTCTGCCTCCCTTGGAAGAAATGGCCTTGCCTGCAGCTCGGGTTGGGTTTTGAGTTACCTAGAGGCAGGTGGTAAAAAACTAAAGAGGTGACTTGTTGTGGTAATCACTTTTTTCATTCCTTACTGATGGATGGAGCCACAGGCTTGTCCCATGTGCCTCCCAGCCCTACTGCTTGGGCCATGGAGGAGGCTGAGAGGGGCCCTGCTGGTCAGCAAGGGTCAGGTGCAGAGGCTAGTGGGCAGGGGCAGCCTGACTTTGGCCTTGGGGTGGGTCTGAGTTGCAGAGAGAAAGACTGATAAAAGATAATTGGGAAAGGTAATTGCAGCTTTTGCTATAGGGGGAGGAGACTCCTTGTTGGGGCTCCCTTGCTACAAGGGCTTTTGGTTTCCCATTTTAGGTTTACATCATACAGGTCACTGATGGCAGCCATGAGTGGACGGTAAAGCACCGCTACAGCGACTTCCATGACCTGCATGAAAAGGTAACTGTTAAGAGCTGGGAGCACATATTTCAGGGCTGGAGGGTCCTGTAGGCCAAGTTTCCATTGTGCCACACGTTAGTTTTAGGGCAAAAGAGGCTCCATGTCCATAGTTCTTAATAAATCACTTTGTTAATATAACTGCGTTCATTAATATAGCATGTAAATGCTAGCCTTCAGCTCTAGCATGAGCCAGTCTGCAAGGAGCATATTTGAATTTCAGTTTTAATATTTCCAGTCCTAGCTTGGATACGAGATGCTGAGACAGTTTCCTGGGAAGGGGACAGGTTTGAACTTGTTCGACCTAGCTATGGCTATTCCAAAGCCTGTGCTGTAATATCTGGCTGTGATTCCATCTTTTCTTTGCTTTTGGAGATGCTGTCTTTCTCTGGGTCATTTACAGCGTGTTTTAAAGACACACCACTGCCCTAATTGGTTTGTACTCTGGCTTGGAAAAGATGGCAATTTTAGGGGCAAAAGGTGTTACTTTTCTGAATGTCTCCAACGTCTCCAGATGGAATTCCTTGTCTGGAATTGTATTGGTATTTCTAATGCTAATTTGGATTGAAAGAGGCGAATCCCAGGTGCCCTCGTTTGGTCACTGATCTTGGTACTGCAGGGAGGGGCTGTGCAAGTGCTGACAAGCGCCTGTCCTTAGGCTTCTTGCCTTGGCCTTACATAGGCACAGAGCCTCTTAGTCTGTGGTTGATGTGCTTATGTTTTTTTACAGCTCGTTGCAGAGAGAAAGATTGATAAAAATCTGCTTCCGCCCAAAAAGATAATTGGGAAAAACTCAAGAAGCTTGGTGGAGAAGAGGGAGAAGGATCTGGAGGTCTACCTCCAGAAACTCCTGGCTGCCTTCCCTGGCGTGACCCCCAGAGTGCTGGCCCACTTCTTGCATTTTCACTTCTATGTAAGTTCCTCATCGGGTTTTCACCTGTGCCTGCAAACCCACAACTGCCAAGCTTGAGGCAGCAAACCAGGGGGGACCTCAGCTTTGAGGTGGGCCGGGGTTTGACCCTAGGTTAGAAGATGGAGGAACGTCACCCTGGTTAGGGATGTGTTGTGGGCAGAAGCATGTTAGTTGACAGATTTGCCTTAAATTAGACTGAGTGTGGCCACAGAGATGCTTTCCTCTACCACAAGGCATTTTGTTTAGCAAAAATGGCCTGTGGGTG